CTCAACCAACCTGTCAACCCAACCAATCAACCAACCAACCTGTCAACTCAACCAACCTGTCAACCCAACCACTCAACCAACCTGTCAACTCAACCAACCTGTCAACTCAACCAACCTGTCAACTCAACCAACCTGTCAACTCAACCAACCAACCTGTCAACTCAACCAACTTGTCAACTCAACCAACTCAACCAACCTGTCAACCCAACCGATCAACCAACCTGTCAACTCAACCAATCAACCAACCTGTCAACCCAACCAACCTGCCAACTCAACCAACCTGTCAACCCAACCAACCTGTCAACTCAACCAACCTGTCAACCCAACCGATCAACCCAACTGACCACTCAATCAACCAATTAACCAGCCAGCAGAACCAAAGGAGAGAATGCTTCAGGCCTCCTTTCTAAAAGAAGGAAGGCAGTTTTTGAATTTTAACTGATCAGCCATTTAGAATTTTAAAAGGTTCAAGATCTGCAATGGAGCAAAAGGAGGACCTTTCTATTTTATTCAATTATCTTTGTCTAAGTCTCTTAGAGTCTTTATCCCAGGAGACCAGGGGTTAGGTTCAGAGAATCTCCCTAGAGAAACCTTGATTAAAAACCTTTCTGGGCGGGTAAACGCACTCCTCTCTCCTTTACCTTTCTTCCTCTTCTCTTTGAAGCTTTTCCTGGTCTTCACGCTCTCGCTGTTCCCGGGCAAGGCGGCGTTTCTCTGCCAAGATCTTCGATGCTTCTTCAGCGGTTGTGGTCCCTGGAAGAGTTTTGCCACTCGCATCTGGAAAAATAAGAGAGGGATTTAGCAATAGCAACAGCACTTAAGAGTTATATACCGCTCCACAGTACTTTACAGCCCTCTCTAAGCGGTTTACTGAATCAGCCTACGGCCCCCAATAATGTGGGTCCTCATTTTACCCACCTCGGAAGGATGGCAGGCTGAGTCAACCTTAAGGTGGTCAGGATTGAACTGCTGGCAGTGGGCAGATTTAGCCTGCAATACTGCATTCTAACCACTGTGCCACCAGGAAGGAGAATGAAAAAGGTAATAGGAAGGAAGGAAGGAAGGAAGGAAGAGCACTTATATACCGCTTCACAGCCTGCCTTCCTTCGCACGCAGATTTATATACCACTTCACAGTGCTTTACCGCCCTCTCTAAGAGGTTAACAATGTCAGCCTCTTGTCCCCAACAATCTGGGTCCTCAATTTACCGACCCTGGAAGGATGGAAGGCTGAGTCAACCTTGTGTTGATCCGGATCGAACTGTGGGCAGAATGAGCTGAAGCTCAAGTTGAATAATCAAATACAATGGGTTTAAGTTCTAGGTAGCAGGTTTTTTCTACTTCCGTGCTTTGAATTCCCTTCAAAATAAGGAATTATCTCAAAATAAGAAAAAGCCGGGTTTTTACAATAGGGTGAGTTTCACACACCCCAAAGACCACTTTGGCTGTTGAAGAGGTTCGCCTAGAACAGTGTTTCTCAACCTTGTCAATTTGAAGATGTCTGGACTTCAACTCCCAGAATTCCCCAGCTGGGGAATTCCGGGAGTTGAAGTCCAGACATCTTCAAATTGACAAGGTTGAGAAACACTGTTCTAGAAGCACCTCTGGCCCATGGAGAGATTTCTTGGGTGCGAAAGCTGTTTTGCTGCTATCTCAGAAAGTTTTCAAGAATTTGACTCCTGGCATGAGAGACACAAGTTTCCTTGGAAAACGCCCATCGAAGTGGAGAATTTAGGAGAAGCTGATCCATGTCTCCAACTGGGTGTGTGTGTTGGTTACAAACATTTAACTCGCATGGACCAAAGTGAAAAATATCTATGCAACCCTGGACGCTTTACTAGAGGTCTATGCTCTAGGGCAGTCTTTCTCAACCATGTCAAGTTTAAGATGGGTGGACTTCAATTCCCAGAATTCCCCAGACAGCTTCCCCAATCTCCCCAAATTAGGCAAACGGTCATATTGTTCGATCAACCGACAGTTGACTTAGGACACTTGAGGGGATGCTTCTTTCTCTTGGGCTATAATACCCTTAAAGGAGAATATTTGTAGCTCAGGGTTGAAGGGTGGGGTCCTGGGTGCAGACGTTTCCTAACCCAACTAGGTAACATCATCAGTGCTATTAAGGAGTGTTGTTTGCTGTCAGTTTGTATCTTCTATCAATCATCAGCACTCAGATCAGCATATTTAGATCGAGGTCAACTTCAGATCAACGATCAATACCCCAATCAAGGAACTGTCAAAGAGCCATCAGTGACCAGCCTAATAAAAGAATCTCTAAGACCGGCCCCACCCACCCCAGAATATATAAACGGACAGCAAACCCCATTCCAGCAAACAGTCCAAGTCATATACGGGTAAGACAGTTAGTCATCAATGTCTTTCAGTTAAGGGATAATCCAAATAACGTAGTTCAGTATCCATATAATCAGTCCGGTATACAAAGTTTGCTAACAGTTGCAAAACTTACAATAGCTCACGGCACTTTCTAATAGCCAGCTTCCAAAAACACTCAGATCAGATCAGCCCAGCATCNGGGGGGGGGGGGGGGGGGGGAATCACAGTCGTTTCGTGAGAACAGTTCTTTGAAGAGATTGGGAATTTGGGGGGGGCAGGAGGGGGGGGAGAGAAACAGGACGTGGGTCTAAGACCGTTCTCCTTTCTACGTGTTTGCAGAAAGCTTCATTCCTTCTTTTGCTAGGCAAAAATAATAATAATAATAGTAATAATAAACCGAGCCGCTGGGCTGAACACGTAGTAGCCTCAGCTTCAAACGGCTGGAGGCAAGCGGTGAGTTAAAGCTAGAAGTGCAATTCACACGGCCCAGAGAGGAACGAGCACCTTCCGAGGGTTTAATACTGGTATCGTGTTCTCACACACAAATATAATACTTAACAGGTCCGGGGAGGTTCAATGTCGAACCGCGGGATGGTTTAACCGTTTGGAACGACGACCCACCCAATGGGACCGGCGGTGGGTGGGCTGCCAAGAGCTCCTGGCTGGGGCTGCTACGAATTTCAGGGTGGGTTTTCCACGAGGCTTGTTCTCCCACCCCTGCCACGCCCGCAAACCGAGGGGCGCTCGGTTTGGCAAACCGGACGGGGGGGACGCTGCGGTGTGCGGTAGCTTGAAAAAAAAACCACAGCACGGCTCGACTGAAGGCCACGCATCCATGAATAAAAATAGATAAATAAAGCAAGATATTCTGGGGCCCTCTAAAATCAGGCGGTCTGGGAGGGGGTTTCTGCAGCTGGAGGACTCCTTCCTTGCACCCTGCACAAACACCATCCCCCCGGGGGTCTTAGGGGGCTGGTCTTCACACCCACCTCATGCTGGTGAGCCAAACTTTGCGGGGAGTGGTCTCCATCGAGCCCCCCCCCCTTGCAACACTGAGGAGAGGGGTGGGGGAGAGCTGCGTAAGGCAACAGAATGGAGCGCCGTCCGACTTTGGGGGGCCCTGTTGAGTTTTGAAAAAATCCCCCGTCCGTCCGGAACAAGCGCTGGTTTTCAAGTGTTGGTAGAGACAATCAAGAGGTTGGCGTCCATTTTTTTTTTGTCGTTAAGCTGAGAAATGATCTGACCCCAAAATGGACTCGTTCTAGTGTGAGGTGCTACGTTTTCAGATATTCAAGTTAAATTCGAAGTAACCGTCGCTCCCTCGAAACAACGAGAGGGAGGAAGGGAGGGGGGGAGGGAGCAACAAGCGCATGACATTGGCTCCGGGGTTTTTTTTTTTTTTTTGCTTAAATATACATCGGATTAAACCGCGGTTAACCTTGCAGATGGGGGCATCCTGGGCGAATAGCTAGCTTGTTAAGTGTCTCCGGTTACAAGCTGCCGTGTTTACGGGCGAAAACAGGAAGGGATATTAAGGACCAACAGCTAACGGACGGAACATTACATCCAAAGGAGAACAAGAGGTTATTTCATTTTTAAAAAGCAAAAATCTCGTTTAAAGAATGCGGATAAAGCAACAGTGACATAACTCCTGCCCCCCCCCTTTCCTGCTTTGCGATGCTTCGAGGGGCAACGCCGGATCAGCCGATTGGGGGGGGGGGGGCTGTTGCAGGTGACGCGGAGAGAAACATGGAGGTGAAGTCGACAAGCAGCTTTTTCTTTTTCCAAACCGAGACATTCCCG